TCACAAACAAATGCCTCTTATGAACAAGTTCTTTTAAAGAATCGGTCAAAAAGAACTCAGAAGTGATCATTTGAATCAGTACAATGAATCCTTCACTTAGTTAACAGTACAATATAATGTATAGATGCTGTAACTAAAACATAGCCAAGTGAATCGGAACTGAACTGAATTAAAATTGGGATGAATTGAATCCAGAGTTTGTGAATCAGAATCAAATGGAACCAGGAAAAACGTATTGATTTCCAGTCTTAGAAATGTTTTCTAAAAGATTTCCTTAACACTTTCCCCACATGTCATTGGTTGGTAAAACAAATAGTGCCATCTCAATCAGGCGTCGTTGGTTGAGTCCAAAAAAAGTCAAGTGGAAGATGACTACTACACGCACTGTGGGTAAAAAGCATCATTCTCCATGGACCACTAATAATAAATGTGTACATTACACTTGACAAGTAGAGGGACAGGGTCAGAATGGAAACCAATTGTGTTGTCACACACGCCATAAATAAAATGTGTGGCGATAAAGCATCACAAGAAAACCTTTCCAATGGCCTCCTCACCCTTTCATCATGCATATCACACAATGCCAAACTGGCAGCCGTATAGCGCCGTATGGAACAACAAACAATCACTAATCACTAGGGTGGTAGCCTTTCAAGGTACTAATATGTGACCCTAAACTACAAAACCAGTCATAAGGGTCATTTTTTAGCTGAATAAATAAGATTTCCATTGATGTGTAGTTTGTTAGAATAGGACAATATTTGACTGAGATCCAACTATTTGAAAATCTGCAAACTGAGGGAGCAAAACATCTAAATATGGAGAAAATCGCCTTTAATTCACTTCAATTCAATACACTTTATTGTCCCCAATGGGGAAATTTGTCTTGGACCCTGAAGCCCACATACACATACACTGATCAACACTACATTGCATAATAAAAATCCACATAAACATAGATAAAAACCAACATTCCAAGACACAATAACAACCATAACCAACAAGGGGTTACATGTATAAATTACATGTTTAAAAGACTTTAAAGTTGTCCAAATGAAGTTCTTAGCAATGCATATTACTAATCAAAAATTAAGTTTTGATATATTTACGGTAGGAAATTTACAAAATATCTACATGGTATTTTGGCATAAAAGAAAAATCTATAATTTTGACCCATATAATGAATTGTTGGCTATTGCTACAAAGATATCCGTGCTAAGTTTTGTGGTCCAGGGTCACATATGTACTTTTGAAGTACTAATATGTACCTTAGGGGTAAATAAAGTACAAAGACGTAAATTTTAGCTTTTGCACTTTAGGGTACTGCCCCAATGACAATTTTGTACTTATTTTCTGAGTGTATGAAAATAAAAATATGGAGAACACACTGGAGTAGAACAATGCATACGAATGGTATAAGCAGAGGAAATAATTTTAATTTAAGCCACATTAGCATATAAAATACTTTGAAAACATATATAATGACTTTTTACCAACATATTAGCTATCTGAAAACACACTAGCTAATGAGGGTACTACTGTCAAGCTGAGAGAACATATTGAGTGTGTGCGATTCCTTATCTAGAGAAGCACACAGTCTCACAGGATGATGGCCTCTCATTGCTGTCCTTGTGTGGACAGCGGTGATGGGAAAGCAGATGGAGGGTGGGCGTGTGTTTCTGTGTGTGTGTGTGTGTCCCTCTTGGATAATAGACTATTGGGATTAAATATTGGCTAGTGCTTCAGGTGGAGGGCAGTGGACTGGCTTGTAATGCATCACACTCAAGGCCTCTCCTCCTCCACCCTCCCTCTCTCTTTCCATCCATCTCTCTTTCTCTGTCACTACAATCCTCTGTATGGTTTATTTTGATAAGACCCCCCCCCCCCCACTCCCAGACGAATTTGCCTCGTCCAAAAAAGACGGGCTGAGAAAGCATTTAAAATAAATGACAAACAGGATTCAATCTGACTTACATTTCGAGACCGATATAATTACCTCCCATTTCAATCAACTTCATTGCTATTTTTGTCCACTAAATATCATCTTCAAGCTATCTGCTCCCCAAACCTTCAATTTCGCATAATCACTTCCGTGCATAAAGTTTCCCCGCTTTGACCGGAATTTCAGATATCTAAATGTTAGAGTGACTTTGCCTCGTCCGGGTGCTGTTGCGCGTGGATAAATGTGACATTTCGCCACTAAATTAGCATAATCACATTGACGACCGTGGAATCATATTGACTGCATTACAATGGATTTGATTAGTTGAGGGGGAGCAAACAGCAGCATTATAATCAAGCTGGAAAAGTCACAGGTATTTTTCTCTGTTTTGTTGAAGGCTATCTGTGGCAACACTCCTGTCTGACATTATGCATCCTCACTAATGCAGGCTGGAAGCAGCTAACAAGCAGCATGCTAACTGCTGTTAGCGCCGTTGTCCATACATTAGTGAAGCTTGGTTGGTTTGTTTCGCATCATCTGCGGTGATAAATGCCAGTCTCCTTCTGCAGCAATGACATTCATTTTCTGCTCAGCACTTTGAAGGTAGTTCATTGCTAACTTCGGAGAACAAAAAAAAAAATTTGACCACATTAAATAGTCTTCATTTCTGAAGAAAACTGTGTATATTTTAAAATGCATGTGTAGTGAGATAATAACATGTTAGCATTAGCTGAATTAGCATGTCTTTGAATCATCCAAGGGCTTCGGCTTATTTAAAACGAAAGTGAAATCTGCTAGTCAGGGTTATTTTATCATGACTTTGTATGTTTATCTAGTAGTCGGTTCGACCTTGACCGTCATTAACATGAATCTGCTCAGCACTATCTTCTAAAGCTTTACATAAGCAAGTCCATAAAAACCAACCAGGGGCCTTTGTGCAAGAGAGATGCTAATTCCTCTTTACCGCCCCTCTGTTGTAAATAAAACACTATTTCAGATGTTCAATTACAATAAGTACCTTTCATTTAAGAGCTCAGTCTATGTTGTGGCCTTATCATTGAAAAAAGAGAGAGGGAAACGAGAGAGATAGAGATAAACAGAAGGAGAAATAAAGAGAGAGGGCTTTTATTTAGATCGCATACAATTACTCACAGTCGTTTTGTAAGTGCAGCAAACTGCAGCGGGTTTCTGCACCGCTCATTTGCTTAACAAGGTAAAAGCCAGAGAGGCCAGTCACAGAATCAAGACAGATGTCTTCACGAAGGCGGAGAATCCAAAAGGAGACCAAACAAGTGTGTAAAGCATCACTATTACTATTGCTCAGATCGCTCAAGTTAGTGATTTGAACAAATGAAACGGTTTGTGCTACTGGCATGATTAACATCCCTCAGAATCACATGGCTTTTCTTTTTTTAAGCAATCAGACGTAGAATTTTATATTTCGGGGTGGGGTCTTTTGACTTGGGCTGGCAAGTAGCCAGCCTGAACACCCTTAAAAACCCTGAGAGCCAAACACAGCATTTTAATATTACGGCAGCATTTATTATGTATTTATTTGTACTTTTTATACAACAGTGCCTTAAAAAATACACATTAAAAATACACAAAAATACTGGCACTACATTTTTAGACAATGTGTTAAAATTACTTCAACCTTTAAAAATGCATCTTGGGACCCTTGCATTTTAGTCAAATCACTTAATCTGAATGCTTTTGAATGTGAGAACCCTCTAATAAACACATCCAAAAACAGCTACAGTAATTATGCAGGGTTTCCTTAAAGGAATAGTTCACCTAAAATGAAACTCATAATTTAGTCACTTTCATTTCATTCCAAACCCATATGACTTACTTTCTTTTGTGAAACACAAAAGAAGATATTTCAAAAGTCAGTTGGGTCTAAACAACAATGGACCCTATACAGATTTTCATTGTACGTACAAAGAAAAAAACACTTAGACATTTTCATAATACCTTCTTTTGTGTTCTGATAAAGAAGGAAAGTCATACAAGTTTGGAATGACATGAAGGTGAGTAAATGATGATAGAATTTTAATTTTGGGTAAACCATCTCTTTAAGGCTGTTTTATCAAACCCAACACATAATTTAAAAAAAAAAGCAAAAGAAAAATGTAGCTTTTCTGTATGTAATGGAAGCATGCGCCTGGAGGTAATTAGGTCTTCTCAGCCTCCCAGACATACATCGAGTCCTTGAGGAGGGGAAAAATCTGCCTTGCAAGCTCCCCATCTGATCTCAGGACTTTGTGTTTGTACTTTGTTACAGTGGCTGATACAAGATTAGATAGACGCTGGCATATCGCAGACGTGCATCTCGATGGCTCGCAGAGTGCACTTTCCAATTCCAGAGATGACCTTCTGAAAGAGCGGAGCGGAGCGAAACGAAAGTGAGAGAGAGAGAATGTGGGGGAAGTTTCAGGAAGGGCACAGGAAGCTGATACCAACTCTCCGATTATAATCACAGAAATCCTGGCTGCCTCAGATGGTCCCTAATGAAAAGAGATATTCACAGTGTAGCTAGCGGTAAATGCTTATTATCTTAGATGTTCTACCGATCGTCTGGTTAATTCACCTTTGCTGAATGGGCAGGGGGTGGTTGAGAGGGTGTGAACTAATTACAAAGCATTGATGGCTTTGATTGAATCTGTTTGAGATGACTGACTCAGCAATGGGATTTCAATACACCTCGTCCCAGGGTGAGCATTGCAAATCAATGTACCTTAGTAAGCGTTTTGCTACTATGACTCAAAACATACAAGAGTTAATCCAAGAAATTAGTCTAAGAAATTATTCAAATATGAGAGCGCACTACTGGGAGCTACAGGTCCATGATCATTTAAGCTATAAAGCTGCTGTGATTTGAGCTCTGAGCACCTATATGAGGAGCTATAGTATAGAAAGCAAATCATTATGGCTGCACAGCACCTATTATGCGAGCTAAAAATAGATTTGGAATATGAACACTAATAATCTGAGCTAAAAACCTATGGTCTGAGATATTAAACTATTTTACCATAAAAGTGCAGACTGCACTTCTCACCCTCTTCGGAACAAACTCTCCAATATCCATCGCTCTCAGGACGTGTAGCTGTCAATCTGTGTTCACCGCTGATCAATCTAGGGAACTGCAACAGTATCATTTCTAACAGCAGAGATCAATGAGTCACAATGAGTCTTTGTTCGACAGGCCAAGGAGACTATGTTTATGTATTGGATGGGATATGCTGATTCATAGAGGGGCCTTTCTATTTAAGTATATGTTGAGAGTGAATGTAACAGTGAGTAATAAGAAGTCCATGAACATTGTGAACTATTGTAAACGAGTCAGACTTTAGTGTGCAGAAAACTATGCAAATCACATCACATATTATATTCTGTTCCCAGTTGCAACAAGTGAAGAAAACACTTAATTACCACTAAGGGTTTGCGTAACTTTTATAACTTTCAGGGTCTGTTACAATCAGCTGCAGATTTCTTTGTCAGCCAGCTTTTACCAGAAGACGTTATGCTGGTAATAAACTCAAATCACTAGACTAAACCAACACAACTCATCTTAAATTACTTTTTCCAGCAGACTTATCACTCATCCAAAGATTACAGTATCATATTTATTGGATTTGTTTTACCTACTCCTATAACATGAAGTATAAGGATATGTAATCTATAGAGGTTCTGTAATATGAGCTATACAGCTTTCAAAGTCAACATGAAACTTGCAACCCGTTTTACTTCTGCAATCTGACATAATTCAAGTCAGGATATTCAATGCCAGAATAAAACTGTCAGCCAAAAAGATTTAGACGCATACATTATCGTTTGGGGTCAAGAAGATTTTTTTAATGTATTAATGCATAATATTTTTACATTGATGCATATAAAAATCTTTTGAACTTTGCATTCATTAAAAATCCAGGGGAAAAAATGTAACATGGTTTCAACCAAAATATTAAACAAAATAATTATTATACACTGAGCACTAAATAAGCATATTACGATGATTTCTGGCTGATGAAAATTCTGATTTCCCATTACATAAATAGATCACATTTTAAAATACATTTAAAGCTAAATTATTTTAAATTGTAGTAATATTTCACATTTCTAAGGTTTTTACTTTATTTTTGAACAAATAAATGCAGCCATGATGAGCATAAGATATTTTTTTTCAAAAGCATTAGAATACTTACCAACATTTGAACAGTAGTTTACAGTATATTGCCAAACATTTATGAATATTTTGTTCTTTGAAACAACGTGTAGTTAAATCTTGCACAATAAGACCTGAAGCATGTATTGCACAAGCAGATAGGGTCAAAACTGATTTCATGTTGACTTTAAATGCTTCAACGCTGGGGCATTAAAAACAGACTATAAAAAATCCAACTTTCGAAAAGGTCTACTAGCCAATGTAAAGAAGTGGCATGAACAAAGAATGTTTAGTAGGAGAAGTCAGTTTAATTTTTGTGTGAACTGAACAAAAATACTCTAAACATGTCACTAGCAAAAGTTGTTTTGTTTACCTTACTTAGATACTCAAGTATTTGTTCACAACATATCCAAATGTTCTCCCAACTTTTCAAATCGAGTCATCTGAACAAACAATTTTCCATTGAACAATATTGCACAAGTTCCCAGCATGCATTGCAGCTTGAAAACATTTTATGTTAATTATTATTAAAATACTATCGTTTTAAATTTTACCTACTTAATTTATGCTGCTGCTGCTGCCACTGTCAGTTAGCTGTCATGTGGATCAGAGTTCATATTTTTACTGATTTAAAATGTGTTGATCCTCACCGTGGTTGACAATTGTGTGCTGAGGTACTGTATATGTGCATCTCATTTCAACTTGTTTAATACATTTGTCTATCAGCATAAATGTTTGCCTTTAGGTTTAAGAGGCAAATACATACCCATATTATGTAGAAGGCTTTGAAAAAAAAACATAAATCTAAAAGAAAGAGGATTGATAAAAAAAGATTAGCATTGCTAAATGCTAAAAATCTTTGGTTGCTCTGAAAGATCTTTTAATACTCAGTAGACTGAATTTTATTTGTTAGATGAACAAAAATTTTTAGGTTGTCGTTTGCTAGTTGAGTTAACTTAAGTTGAGTGCGGAAGGTTTCCTTATTTTTTTGACTTTGGTCAACCTTTTTTTTTTTTTTTTTTTTACAGTGTAAAGCCCTGTTCACACCAAGCACGATAACTATAAAGATAACGATATAGTTCTAAAAATCCTTCTCAATATTAAAGAATAGCAGAGTCCACACCACAACGATAATGATATAACGATAAAGAAACAGAGAAACGATATCATTGGAATCATTTTCAGAACGATTTTTTTTCCACCTGATAAACAATACAAACACTGCCATCCAATCAGAATCCATCCTGCTATAAGGAGCTCAAGAATTTAAAGCAGCAGACGAGTGTGCGCTTAGAATAAACGGACGATATCGTTCGTTGGTGTGGACGATAATATCGTTAACTTTATAGTTATCGTACTTGGTGTGAACGGGCCTTAACAGTGAAGTATGAAGGGCAGCTGGAGTCATATCTTTATGTTTTCGTCTTTTATCTCTCTTCTTTAATGGTCAGAGTCCAACACACAGGTGTACACAGACATAAAGAACATTTGTGGATGTCAAGCATCCAGCTCAGACTCTTTAACTATTCAAAAAGAAAATAACTTATGACAGGTACCGCTAAACGTGGAATTAAAACTACTGAATTGTTAATCCTGCAGTTACAAGCACAATATGCTACTGGAAAAACTGCATTTCTACAGAAGTATATGTGATACTTCAGTAACTCTGACAGATTAGGGAAAATATGGATGCGAGGTGTGAGCGCACGTGTGCGGGAGAGAGAAAAGACTTCCATAACACATCAGGTTTCAACTCTGTAATGATTCGGAGAGTGAACTGCATTGGACTTGACATCAAGCTGATTTGAAAAGCTTGTCACTTGTTTGGGGGGGGGAAAGCAGCTGCTTGTGAAAACTCACAGGTTTATTTCTGTTCCAGGATTCTCACCTCCGCTTCTTTATCTCCTGTTAATTAGCATCGCTGCTAACAAGCACTCTAGCACATATGCAAACTGCATGCATCTCCTCCTGTTCTCCTGTAGAGTGTATGTGGGGGAGAGAAGACATAATCTCTAATTCTGCAAGCTTTACAGAGAGGAAACTAATTAACTTGGGCAGGCTCTTAAAATCCAATTGGGTTTTCATCCGATGCAGATTATTTTAATTAATCTAGTATGAAATGAAATGAGCGACTAACAGAGAAGCTGGACTTTGTCTATGTTTTGTTTCATAAACATCAGACACAATGCTGACCCGCTTTAGCTGCTAAATGCAAGACATTATGTTCACAGTCTCTGCTGTAAACAAAAGGCAAAATACTGCCTAAAAAAACTTGTAAGGTAGGAGAGAGAGAGAGACAGAGACTGTCTGTAAATGTTGTGACAGTAAAAGACCTCTTTAAAAATCACTGCTCACCTGATTGGCAGGGTCACTCCGTGCCTGTCTACCCATCACTCACAAGGCACCTCTCACCTCTTTAATATTCCTGACGTCTAACGTGGGCTTTCTCTTCCTCCTTTTTTCCTTTCGAGTGCGAGTTGGCAAAATATGAGGTAACCTGTCAGTTTCAGTCTACAATTATTGTACCATAACCAATTCATTACTAAAGGTGGCTGATTTAACATTCATATACAATAAAAATGATATGATCAATAAATAAGCCAACTTCATTTATATATATTTTTTTATTATTTTTAAAGTCAGTTTAATATAATTTAAGTTGCAATGACTTGTACAGCCAATTTGATTATGCAGCGACTGAATTCAAGTTAAAGTAGGTGGAAATTATATAAAAACATACATTCATATCATCTTAAAGACATTTCAAAGTGCAACTAAACATCACTAAATACATAGTGGTGTGAAAAACTGTTGGCCCCCTTCCTGATTTCTTATTTTTTTGCATGTTTGTCACACTTTAATGTTTCAGATCATCAAACAAATTTAAATATTACACAAAGATAAAGCAAATAAATACAAAATGCAGTTTTTAAATGATGATTTCATTTATTAAAGGAAAAAAGTTGTCCAAACCTACGTGGCCCTACGTGAAAAATTAATTGTCCCCCTCCTGTTAAATCATGAAAGAACTGTGATTAACCACATTATTTTAGAAAGCTGAGTTAAATTTCACTAGCCACACCCAGGCCTGATTACTG